CTCGAGCTGCCACCGATTTTTTTTTTTCATGCAAAGGGAAGTTGAGTGCTTGATCATAACGTAATTCCTTGAGAAATGGTCACTAGCTGCTGAAGAGAATGTTGAGAAATGTCTTTCCCCCCTTTTTGGCCTGTTTGTTCCTCGCTGACTTGACTTGGCAAAAGACATCGGCTCCCAAATCATTTCTTTACAACCATGAGACACCTGGGAGCAGGGGAAGGGAGCGGGCAGGGAAGAAGGACCACAGGGAAGAATATATTCTTTTCAGAGGTTAAAATGGGTTATTTAAGAAACGGGATGTTTAATACCATGCATTTACTCTCCAAAGCTAGTCACTAGCAAGCTAACGCCTCTAATACTACAACCACCAATTACAGCTGTTTTTGCTACACTTACTGAGTTCTAACTACAGCAATAGGGCAGAAAGGGTGGGCTGTTTCCATTTTAAACTTTCTCCCTTTGAAAATGGCCATAAAAGTGTTTTCTGTACAAGTTTAATGGCACAAAAAGGTGACCCGAACCTTTTTTTTTTTTTAAAGAACTTACCACACATGAGAAATGCAAACTTCAATCAAAACATGCATTAGTTGTATACAAGTCATAAGGGATCATTGGCTTCAAGCTGCAATATATTGCAGGACCATACATGGGAGACGTTTTGGTATAACTTCTTACTTGCTCAAATCCCTTTAAGAGAAGTTATAAAGAAAAGCCATCAGAAAGGGCATTCCATATGGCATTGCCAAGCCATGACGTCCCCAAGGGCTGTGTACCCTGTGGAATAAATTAGCACCTACAAGCTGACTTCTTGAGGCCCACTGATTACTATATGTGGACTGCCTGCACAGGGATGCGAACAGCTGGAGTTAAGAATAAACGTTTAGGTGAATTTAGTAATAGAAGGACAAATACATATTAATTAAGTGAATGTTTTGTTCTATGGTAGGGGTTTGTTAATTACCCTTTCCATTAAATCAACCACAACTGCCTATCAGTTTAGCTAAAACAGTTCAACAGTTGGCAAACCCCAAACATAAGGTTGTTACAGACAGCTTAATGTATCACGGGGTAGAACTTGAACCCAGTTGCTCCACCCCACACCCAACTACCCCAGCCGGCCAAACCAAATGACAGCAGAGATGACCTGTGGTCTCTCATGATATTATATTGCAGCTTTTAAAACTATGAGCAAAGCAAATGAAATCAGTTAATAGTATTTAGCTGATAAGAATCCATGGGTGGACTTTTCTGTTCAGCTGATTATTTCTCTGAGCACACTTCACTGCTCCACAAAATGACAGACTAAAAAAGAACCACAGAGTGCTCTGTACAGTGCTTGGAAGGCAAAGACCCAAAGATACATGACTGTAAGGAAACTGCTTATAAAGATCTGCTTTGGGGAATGGCAACTGAAAATGGAGAACAAAGAGCCAGGATCAGATTGATTTCAACCACCATACTTCTGACTGGACTGGGGTACGATCAGCGCTGGTCAAGTCCAGAAATAACTTCACATCACCAAGGCAAAACTTCAGGGCTAAGAAGAGGCATGTGCCCAATACCTAGACATGGAGGAAGGAAGGAATAAAATGGGAGACAACAAACAAGAGAGGGAATTGCAGAGGACAAGAGATGGGCATTTGTACTCTGGAAGAAGAGAGTGATAAGAGAGTATAAAAATGAGAGCAATTCTAATGAACTAGAGAGAGAAAGATAAGACAAAGAAATACACAGGGGAGGTAGACATTGGCAAAAAGACATTGCTTCCTCAGGTTATTATTAACCCAGAAATGAGAAGTTTCCAGGCCCCCACGTGTGCCTTAGTTCACAAGATGTTTGCTCTGACTTCCATTGTGCCACCTAATCTCTCCCAACTAGCCTGTCCCTTCTAATCAGGAGCAAGAAGATGCCTTAATTCCCAAGGTGAATTCTATATCCCCCCCCCAATCCCAGGCATCTAAGGTAAGACGAGATGCATCTGATTCCAGAAGATGTCAAAGTGTAGGCAGTTAGAAGCAGGTTCCAGAGTCTTGTCCTGTGATAGCCAGTGTTACACCACCTGGGCCAAAGTGGGAGGTCTGCATGGATCTTTAATGAGAAACAAGCTGGAAACAACAGCAACACCAAGAGGTTGAATGTCAAGGCCACACTACATCTTTGGGGATGGAGATAAGCTCTGGGGACCAGGGTGGGAGAGACAGAGGAAAAAGTCTCTTTTTCCTGAAGAGATAGAAGAATAAAATTGGGAATTCACTTTTAAGAAATGAATGGCCTGTGTTGTCTTGGTCCATAATCACAGCCTTTAGGGCAATCCACTGAATATTAACAGCACTACACTGGGTCTGGGCCACCAAGAGCCAAAGAGTCTGTTGGAGATATCTCTAGCCTGCCAGAAGGTGGGCATGGGGAATCAATGCAGTATTCTTGCTCCATGTGGCCACACAGATAAGGAAGAGGAAACCCCATATGGAATCACAGAATGTTCCATTGGACAATACTACATAAGAGGTTTCCTTCCTAGGGCAATGGCAGAAGTGTAACAGCTCTCTTGCTACACAGGAGGTCTCAGATCACTTCTGGCATATCAATGTCTGGGACTTCATTCTCTCTGGATTCCAGGTCCCAAAACATAGGATCCTTAATGTTCCCTCATCTCATATGAGCTTCAAAATACTGACAGTTTACTGATGAAATCAGCCTAGGCCTAAGAGCCAAATCCCTGGATGCCATAAGAACAATGCATGATTGTGGCCTGGCCTTGGAGATTCAAGTGGCCCTTTGTGGCCAAGGAGAGGTTCCAAAAACCTGTTTCAAAAAATAAATCTCCAATGTCTTTTAGTCCCCATAGTGACTTGGGTAGCAAAAGAGGTCATTCAAACCCCACTGTCCTGGGGCAGCTATCCAGAGATGTATCTTGGCATAGATGTTTTGGAGGTAGGCTGATCTCTGAAAACCCTCTCATCAGTGTGCTAGAGCTCCTCTGGGGTACATAGGCATGCTTGTTCCCTTGTCCCAGGGAGATGTGTTTTTTTTTTTTAAAGAAAAGCTACTTAGAACCATATCTGAGGGGGATTGAGGGCATGTCCTGCCATTATTAAAGGGACTAAAGAAGTAGATGTCATTTTGTCCAAGGCAAGCACTGCATTGGGGCTCTAAGACTTGGGCTGGTTGATTCAAAGAAGGATCAAGGGGGCTCAGACCTCTTCTATTTTCCTTCTTCTTAGAACTATACATCCACTTTAAGGTTCCTTGTTTCCTTCCAATTGAGGAGGAGAAGCAGGAAGAAGAGAGAACTTCCTGAGAAGTAGGGTAAGCCCAGAAGGAAGACTCTTGGACCCGAACTAATGAATAAACCTTCAATCCCGCCCTGGTTTCTGCCATGGAAGGCCACAGGAGCAAGCAGCACACACAAGAAGGTGAGTATGGCATGTAGAGCACATAGCTTGCTATTTTAGTGCAAACGCAAGGAGCCAATGTTTACCACCAGCTGAGGTGCATTTTAGTTATGAAGCCCCTTGTTTATACCTGGAAATTGTCCCCATTGGGGCAGGATGGCTATGGGAACATTGTGGGTGAGAACCACCACAGCAAGACCAGGTTATTCTCTCTAGCTAGCCTCTCTCCCATATTTTAAAAGAAATCATTGCCAGTGAATGGCAGCCACAGTCATTCAAAAAATACTGAAAAGCCATCTCAGAAATTTATGGGGAACAAAGCTATGGTTCTAGTTCTTCCTTTCTTTCCCTGCTCTAGGAACAAGAATCATTTCCCTCAGCTTCTGAAGACCCAGCCAATAGGAGATGTGATGAGGTGAGCTGACAGGGGAAAATCAGCCTTCCCCCATTTCAGCTGGATAGGGCAGGAGCTCAGAGAGCCAAGCGCTCCTCAAGGTGGGACAGTGATCCTCTATGTTGGGTGGACAAGGTCAGGGACCTCATTGTTCCTGTGGGTCCTCAATGCCTCCTTCCCTTTTGGGACATCTGCAGTCCATGTGGATGGGAACCATATGAACACAGGGAGAAAGAGCTATATGAGATTGCTGGGTGGATTCCCCACTGAGCTCAGGGCAGCAGCATATGGCTCCAAGATGCAACATGACCCTGGGAAAGAATTCTCAGGAGTCTCATGGAAGGCAATACAGTTCAGTGGGAAAAGGCTCTGGAACAAGAGCCAATAGATGTGGGTTCTAATCCCAGCCCTGCCCCTAGCCAGCTGTGTGACCTTGGGGAAATTACCTCTGTATCTCATTCCTGGCCTGAAAAGGAGGAATTTGGAATAGATCATGTGATCCTAAGGTTCCTTCCAGCTAGAAAGCTCTATGATTCAATCTAGGCTAAAACTAAAGTCCTTAAGGACACAAAGCAGTCATGCTAATGGCTATCCTTTCCAAAACAGTGAAGAGAAAAGGAAATTTTCTCTCAATTTACCCCTAGTTAACACTACTTAAGAAGTTGTTCAGCCCAGCCCCATATATACATTTTCCCCTTCTTTGTCCCTATTTCTATTTCTGTAAGGGAGAAAAATCAGGAGGTAGGAACAAGCAACAGATGGATTGTGTGTGTGCGTGTACACGCGCGCGTGGGCATGCACGTGCGTAAGAGAGGAAGGGAGGATGGGGAGTGGTGGCAGATGCTTGCTGAATGACTTGATATTTGCTGAGTGTGCAGAAGGTAATACAATGGAACTTTAGTGGTAAAACCGGATTGGGCAAAATCTAGCATGAATGACAGGGGTGAAGGTGCACAGTTATGATTTTTTCTTCTGCTTTGAAAATGGGCTAATTTAAAATGCAATCGTTAAAGGCTTAGATTTTGGAACAAGACCAAGCCCCCTGAAGTGGCAGTACAGAAATGTTCTCTTATAATTGATTAAAAGAAAGATGGAAAATCTACTTTTATGATTGAAGACTGTTGGATCAAAGGTCACTCTCTGGAGAATGTGTCCATTTAGTACACCAGCGAGGAAATGCTCAGGAAGGTAGCACAGGGCCCAGGATAGGAGAGAATCTAAACTCCTCCTCTGGTCTTGCTCCTCACCAGCCTGTCTGTTAGCGGCCTCAGCCTCTGTCTCATCTTAAATGGAAGGAACTGGGCTAAATGAGATCTGGAGAGAGTGGAATCTTTGGGGGTCTGGCCTGAAGATTAAAAATAGACCTGCTACTCTCTCTATACTGCCCCTTCCCCCCTCCCCACCATCCCAAGTACCAGTTTTTCCCAATTAACTACAAATTGTTCTGGGAGGCACTAAGGAAAAACCTTGAGCTTCCAGAAGAAAGTAGGGAGTAAAGAAAATGGGCTCTGTCGTGGTTTCCAACAGGCCTACACATAAAGGAGAGAGGCAAAGAAAGTTTCTCATGATTTGGGGTTCTTTGGTGACCCATTGAACCAGGAATCAGTATTATTATCATCAGGACTTTTCTTGAGCCAAAGATATTTCTTGTAGCTAAGGTCCTCTGAAGCTTGTCTAGGGGTATCTGAGCTACCCCTTCCACCACCAAGTTCCCTTCCACATCAGCAATGCCACCAAGTTGCCACGGATCCGGGGTATCCTGCAGTATCTCCCAGTTGTGAAGCCACTGAGGGTATACACACACATACGCACACACCTCCCAAGCTCATTCCAGTTCAAGAGGAGGAACAACTGCAACTCCCTCAGGAACCAAACCACAGCTTGGCTTTGAGTGCTGCCCCTCACACACTATCCGAACAATTACAAAGAAATAAGGGGAAAAAATCTTCATATCTGCTAAAAGCAAACACAGAACTGGCATGCATGGCTTTCCCTTAAATTTAGTCATCTTTGCCGTTATGGGCTATGGTTACAGACAAAAAGCAGTGTTATGAACCGGTACCTCAAAGACTGAGAGCTATTTCGAATGATCAGTCCTTAGTAAAGAGAAATCCTTTCTAGCGTGAAAGACAAGTGAAAGGTCTCTGTGTCTTCAGTATGAAATATCAGGATCGCAGATAAAAAAGACTTGCTGAAAATATGCCGTAACATTTCCCTTAAAATATAATTAGAATGTCTGGTCCACGTTGAAATTATTAATGTAAGCATAACTGTTATAAAGTTATCAAAAGACTGATTCTATTGAATTGGCCTCTGCTACTCATTTTTGTTTCCTCCCGGAGGTTTCTGTTTGGCAGTGACAGCATGATTTCTAAACTATGTTATTCTTCTGCATTTTTTTTTTTTTGGTAAATTTTCTGCACGTGTTTTTTAGACAAAAGAAAAATCACCAGTTTATAAAAACGGAGCCTGAAGAGTTTGCTCCCGAAGTACAGACACGAAGTTTTATAAAAAGGATATTGGTTTTCTTGCTATAAAAAGCGACCAAAAGGTGTCAGACCTGAAAACAAATTCTCACAGTGTTTTCAGTGTTGGCTGTTTACAAGGCATTCAATAGAACAGAGACAGATGGATACCATACAGTTTGTGTAATAACTCGCTATGTTAGACAGCCTCCTAGAGGAATCGGGCATACGAAGTCCCTCACCGCCAACCCTTAATTGCTTATTGATTCCAAATTGCCCCACTGGAGAGCTCAGACAAGAAATTTGCTGTGCTTTAGAAATGCTACCAAAACGCCGACAATGTTTCTCAATTCTGCCTAGTCTCGTTTTCACTTGCCCTGCACCGGGGTCCTAAGCATCTGCTGTCAGAATTACAAATTGCTGGTGTTTCTCCCCCTTGACAGCCAGAACTGGTGCTAGACAAACTGGGGGCTCAGTCGGGAGTGAAGAGCAAGGCTGGGGAGCTGCCTTGCCACCCTCCCAGGATCTTCCAGCATTCTTGAGATCAGGAGACAAGGGGCACTTGTGTTTGTCACTCTTGGATTTGCCAAAGAGTGTCTTTCCCACATACGCATTTTCAGGGCTATGTATGTAAACAACCCTCTACAGAAGGAAGACTGTCGTGTATGAGCAAAGTGAGACGGGGGAGAAATAACGCAGGCGCCTAAGTTTTCAATAGAAAGGTCACGGACTAGCACATTTTGCATCCCCGGAAAGTTACCCCGAAGGATGGTTAATCGATCTATCTCTTATAATTGGTAACTGTGGATCAGTGGCCCAGAGGAGAAATCACAGGAACATAAACCCAACATATTACAGTGTGTTTTTAAAAGTAACAACAACGACAAATAAAAATTTGAAAGCACCAATAGCCCTGTTGGACCCTTGAGCAGAAGTACCCTATTGTAACGGTGAGCTTGGATTTGTACTCTGGACTCCGAACATTCTCGTCTTCACATGGAATCACCAAGTGAGTCCGAGTCATCCAAGGACAGAGGCAGGTACAGATCCTGTAAGAAGATAAGAGGTAAAGTTAACTCCTTTTCTTGACATACTGGGCTCTGAAATGGGCAACATCAGATGACTGGGTTGTTTTAATTAGTATTTTATCTAATTTTTATTTTGAACTAATGACAGATTCAGAGGAAGCTGATGTATCAGGAGGAATACTTGTGCTGATGTACCCTTCACTCAACTTCCCCCAGTGGTAACATCTTGCCATTTTCCATGCACTTGTGTTGCACGAATGTGTGCATAGTTCTATGCAATTTTACCACGTGTGTATTTGTGTGCCCATCGCCACAGCTGAGATACAGACCTGTACCCTCATCAATGGGCTCCCTCACGCTGCCCCATTTAGAGCTATAGAGCCCCGTCTCCCACATCTAAACCCCCCATGGCAACCAATGATCTGTTTCCCATCTCTACAGTTTTGTCATTCCGAGACTATTATATAAATGGAACCATACCGTATGTAACCTTTCAGGACTGGCCTTTTCCATTTAGCATAATTCTCTAGGGATTCATGCAAGTTGTTGCACATGTCAGCAGGTTCACTCCTTTATATTGCTGACAGTATTCCATGGTGCCATTATGCCACAGTTTGGTTAACTATTCACCCATCGAAGGGCATTGCGGGCTATTACAACTTAAGCTTGCCCTAAAAATTCTTATACAGGTTTTTGTATTAACATAAGTTTACGTTTCTCTGGGATAAATGCTCAAGAGTACCACTGCTGAGTCATACGGCCATTGCACATTAAGTTTGTAAAGACTGCAGTATTGTTTTCCAGAGTGGGGTACTCTTTACATTCTCATCAGACAAGTATTAGGGATCCAGTTTATCTACATCCTCGCCAGTATTTCGTGTTTTCTCTCCTTTTTATTTATCAAATCTTGGGGGTTTTAAGTGGTATCTCATTATGGTTTTAATTTGAATTTTCCTGGTGGTTACTGGTATTGAACAACTTTTCATGTTGTCTGTTTATTTGCTTATTTCTCTGTTTTTAGAGACAGAGTATGAGCAAGGGGTGGGACAGGGAGAAGGAGAGAATCTCAAGCAGACTCTACGCTGAGGAGGGAGCCTGACAAGGGGCTCGATCTCGCCATCCTGAGACCCGACCTGAGCTAAAATCAAGAGTCAGACACTTAACCAACTGGGTCACTCAGGCACCCCTCTTCAGGTCTTTTGTTCATTTTCTAATTTTTTTTTTCTTTCTTACTGTTGAGTTTTAAGATGTTTTTATCTTCTATGTATGTCCTTGGCTAACTCTGTGGCTTGCAACTATTTTCTCCCATTCTGTAGCTTGTCTTTCCATACCTTTTGCGTGGTCTTTGCCAAAGCAAAAGTTTTTAATTTTGATGAGGTCCAGTTTATTATTCTTTTTATTTTATAGATGATACTTTTGTTGTCAAACCTGAGAACTCTCTGCTTAGCCAAAGATCACAAGATCTTCTCCTAGGTTTCCTTTTTACCTCTTTTACACTTATATCTATTGTCCATTTTTTAAGTTAATTTCTTTTTTTCTTTTTAGAGTTAATTTCTGCATAAGACATGAGGTTTAAGTTAGGGGTCATTTTTTTGTTCTATGGATATTCAATGTTCCAGCACCACTTATTGAAAAGGTTATCTTTCCTCTTTTGATTGAATCAGCACCCTTGTCAAAAATCAGTTGTGCATATATGTGTCAGTTCATCTCAGGCTCCCAGAGAACTGCCAGGTCCTAAACAAATGCTTAACCCAGAAAATGTACCCCATCTGCCTACTTGCACCAGGAATTACAGTCCGTGGCTCCAATACTGCCCAAGACTTGTCTACATCTTGAGGAGATGGAAAGAGGACATGGCATTGGTTTTTCCCCACTGTCCTCAGAGCTGTATTTGGAGATACTTGTGATTCCTCTTGGACATACTTCACCCATAATCTAAATCAGCAATTTTCAAATCCCTGTCTCTGTCTCTCTCTTAATATCTCTCTCTCTTCTCCTTCTAAGTCCTCTATTTAAATGAGATTTTGTTTGGGAGCCCAATACATAAAATAAATACAAGTGTAGCTGTTGTAGTTGAATCAGACCTTGGGGGGGGGGGCAGAATCTCACCCATCTCCAAATGAAGCAGTTTGAAAACCACTGTTATCATTCACATTATCAGCAAGATACTAAAGGGAACCAAAAAATTTAGGGTCAACTCTGGATATTTAAGAGATCCTTCTTGGTATAATCTCTCTTAGGTAGAGAATTGTCCAAATAATTGGAGCATACAGCTTCTCCATGAGTCAGAGGAAAAAAAATGAAGATGAGGAAAAAGAACAAGAATAGGGAAGAGAGGGACTTATTTATCTAATAATGCTAAGAATGGTTTTTGCTATGGGGCACCTGGTAGCTTAGTTGGTAGAGGATGTGACTCTTCATTTTGGGGTTGTGAGTTTGAGCCCCATGTTGGGTATAGAGATTACTTGAAATTAAGATATTTAAAGAAATATTTATTTTTGCTTTTTTTTTTTTTTTTTTTTGCTTAGAAGGAGGGGGTAAGAAAATTTTCAGGCAGCTTCAATGGAAAGAGGAACAAAGTATATTCAGAAACCTGAGCTTTTGGTCCTGGAATTAGTACTACTGTGACATTGAACAAGTCTTTGAACCTTGGTGTCTTCATCAAGAAAATTCAGTATTGGAAAGGCGATATGTAAAGTCTCTTCCACCTCTTTGACTGTTATTTAGGACCCTCAAGGGACTACAATCATTAAAAAACAAAAGAAAGGCAAGTATAGCAAATAGACTCACTTCTCACCAGCCCGGCTTCCCTTCATGGTAAATCAGAGGCTCACAAACTTTTTTGTAAAAGGTTAGATAATAAATATTTTGTGCTTTCTTTGCTGGTCACATATGGTCTCTGTCATGCAGTCTTCTTTGTTTGCACTTTGTTTTACAACTCTTTAAAGATATTAAAAAACATTTCTTTTTTCATATTGGGGGGCCATCCCCAAACAACGAGGTCATAAGCAGTATTTGGCACCCTTGTTCTAAACTACCAAACACAATCTCTTATAAAACTGATAAACAGGAAGTGCAAGGCTGAGGAAACAATAGAAGTTCAATAAAAACTTGTAAAATTGAACTCAGGCAAAGTGGTACACAATCTGGTCACATCTCTGAAGGGATTTTGCCTCTCTTGTACTTGAATAAAGTGAAAATTGAATGTAGTCAAAAGTATCTTCGAGCTCTAGACTTCCAGAATGGCAAAGAAAGACTCTTTGAAAATCTGCTCCAACAGTGACACTGGAAAAATTGTTAAAACCAACATTTTCAGAACTCTGGAAATTAACCAAAAGTTTTCAGCAATCCAAAGAGTGTTTATTCAAGAAAAATGGCTGAATATAAGAATACCAAAATTTGTATTGCTTTAGCTTATTCTCTTTCCCTTCTCCCTCTCCCCAACTCCAAGGTAGCCTTGAAAGCCAACAGCCTCCCAATTCCAGTATCTGGAAAACAGCAAACTAGTAGTGAGATGGTGCAGAATGAATTAAGAACTCCCCCCCACAAAAATAAAGCCCCATTCGCAGAGAATTGTCACTATTTGGCCTGTTTCGTAGCTCCTTGGAAACTCCCATTCATAGACTCTTTATTTGACCTAATGCAGAGCACACTCACTGTGAGCCGCCTTTTCAGGTGTTTAAAATCACAGCTGCCTAAAGAAGAGGAAACTGTTGGGGCAAATGAAGCTGCTCCAAACATTAAAAGGAAAAGCTAGAGAATTCATGTTCATAGGAGACTTTGAAAAGTTCCAACATATTCACATGCTCCCAGGAATCTCTGTGACATGGCACATTTTCAAGACTGGGTGTATTCTGAGAAAAGACCTAAGAAGGTCCCAATCTCTCATCTCTGGTTGGCCTTGAGGCCCTGCACAAGCAGCAAATGAAGGCTAAGGCAAAATTATAAACTGCCTGAAAGAGCATTGAAACATGCCCACACACACACCCACACCCACACAACCCCCCCCCCACACACACAGCATCTAAGCCAAGGCAGGGAGCCTTATTGGATCAAGGCATTTAAGGAAATTTAGTAAAATTATCTTTCAAGAATGAAGGAGAAAACAAGACATTCTCCGATAAACAAAGACAGGGCATTCATTGCTAGCAGACATATACAAGAAATACTAAAGAAAAGCTTTCAGGAGGGAAATGAAAGGACAATGGACAGTAATTCAAATCTGCATAAGAAAGAAAGAACACTTGGTAAAGGTAAATACAGAGGTAAATACAAAAGACACAAGTTTATTTTTGTAACTCTTTTCTTCTATTATCCAGTTGAAAAGACAACTGCGTGGAATGGTAATTATATACGGGTGCTGATGGTCTTATTATGCATAAAGAGGTAATTTGTATGTTAATAGGAGCCCAAAAGGAGGGGAAGGGAGGAGGGTCAAATCCATACTATAGTAAATATTTTTATATTCAATTGAAATTAAGTTGATATTATTCCAAAATAGATTGCACTAAGATGTCAATTGTACTCTCCAGGGCAGCCACAAACATAACTCAAAATTCATTTAAAAAAAAAAAGGAGATTAAAATGGTACATTAGAAAAAACATCTAACACAAAAAAGAGCAAAAATTGAAGAATAAGGGAACCAAAAAACACAAGACATGTAGAAAATAACAAAATGGCAGATGTAATTTCTACCTTACCAGTAATTACATTAAACATAAATAGATTAAGCAACCAAATTAAAAGGTAGAGGTTAGCAGAATGAATTTTAAAAACAAAAAACAAACAAACAAACAAACAAACAAAAACCATGATCCAGCTCTCTGCTGCCTGAAAGAGACATAATTTAAAGACACACATAGGTTGAAAGCAAAAGGATGAAAAAAGACTTATTATGCAGATAGTAATCAAAAGAGAGCTGGAGAGCCTATACTAATAACAGGGGGAGAAAAAGCTGAACAACTCAAGAGAGCAGGCCAAATAAAGTCCCAAGCTGCCCCATTCCTTTGGGAAGGTACCAGTGGAAGGTGCTGGGGCAGGTCAAAATTCTCAGAAGGACGATAAGGGCAGAAATGCATAGGACAAAGACACAACAAGAAGCAATGTAGTATGGGAGACCTATATCCCAGGCCTATCCTGACTATTTAACGTCCCCTTACAGGGTCTTTGCTTCTATATCTGTAAGTTGGGGAAGATGTAGACTAGAAAATCTTTCAGTTTCCTTCTGGTTCTAAAATTCTCTAGGTCAGATCATTGCATTTTGCTTTTTATTAGTTAGACCAAAGCAAGAGAAATGAGCTAGACACTACCAAGTTCATGAACTCCTTGGGAATTTTAAGGGTCTTTTCATTATGGAGGCCACTTTGAGTCCCACCACACTGAACCCTGGGTTTCAGCATTCACCCTTGCTCTTGATTATTCATGTAACAGAACCTTCATTGTGGTTGGTTGGCTGGTGGAAATAATTATAGGAGAAGATTATGTCAGACTTATATTTCAGAGGAAGGCCTAGGGGTAGAATCAGAAGGAAACTGCTCCTGTAGGTGCTATGACTTGGGATGGATAAAGTGAGAGTCAGGCTGTGGAGGGAATCCATAGGATTAGGCTTGGGAATGAACTTCTGTAAGTCTGTCCTCCATCCACTTATTTCATATTCAAAAGATATTTTCTTGTGTGGGTAGAACAATGTTCAGGAAAAGGAATTATCTCAACTCTGTGTTTTTGTTGATCGATATGTAGAAATACAGAAACACACATATTGCTTAACAATACAAATAATTTGCACCTGAAATTCATTTGCTGAGTCCCCTGGAGCCCTACAGAACAAAATGTTTGTAACAAATACAGCTGTGCTGGCGATACTATTGCGTTAGAGAAAACAAAATCTTGGTTTCTGGTCCAAGGAGCTTATAGTCCAAAGGAAGTCAGAGAGGAGTTTTGAGAAACCTGGCTTCTGGTTTGGGTTTGCTTTTTCCCAAATGTGCCCTGCACTTTTCTGATGGTGTGGCTTTGTTCTTGTTGATTTATTATTATTATTTTTTTAATGATGGAATGCCCATTCTCTTCACCAGCCATCAAAAGCCTACCCAGGCTTTAATGCCCCACTTAAATGTCACCTAGTCTGCAACACTTTCCCCATCTCCCACCGTCCCCCAGGCAGAGGACTTTCCCACCCTTTTGTCCATTCTTGATTACACTACCAAAATCCACTTAGAATGGTGTCTGTGATTTAAGGATCAAGACCCTGCTTTATTCATCAAACTGTCTCTCCAAGCACTTACAGGACAACAGAAAAAAGGTCTAGAAACATAGAGGAAAATGTGTATTTAAATAATGTTAGTTATATTTTCAAATAATATGTCCAATATATTTCCCTCCGATCTCTGGATAACTTTGCAAGCCAAATGCCTCCACATTAAAGGCATGAGTGTAATCACTGATCTAGAAAACATTTTTAAATAAACAAAAAGGTTTCCCTATTTCTAGGCTTTTCAAACATCTTTAATGTGCTACCTTCTCCAAATTGTTGAACCATACTAGGGTTGTCTTTGCCCCCGGGACCCCCTTTTCCTCATTTCTAAAATGGAAATGCCACCTGCCTTATCTCTGTCACAGTGTTATCACAAGGGTAAATAGGAAAATGTGCAAAAGGATAAAGCAGTATGGAAATGCACAATGTTGTTCTCATTAACTATCCAAGGACTTACTTTGTGTCCATATTGTAGCACTTGAGTATGCGGACTTTGGCTAACCCCCTCACAGCTGCATTAAAGAAGATTCTCCATGAGCTGCTTAAGAGGGGAAGCCAAGAGGCTGATTACAGCTTAGGGCCCTGCCACAGCCATCAAAAGTTACCAAAGGGATGCTGGGACTTCAAGTTTGTTTCCAATTGCGCAGGAGGAAAGTCATGGCCTTGGCCACCTGCTTCCTGTCTCCACCATGACTCACACCTTTCAGGTCCACTTGGATTGGAGTTCAAATGAGAACTGCTTAGGCCCACTGCCCAAGGACCTTGATGGTGCTAACTAAAGCTCAGGTAACTATGTAAAAGGAGGAGCAAGAAGCTGAGTCCTGAGGCCCAGGAGGACTAAGCTAAGGTCATGAAATTTTTAGCTTACTCAGAAAAAACATTTCACCCTGCATCATTAGTAGGGTTAAGTATGAGGCTGTTGCCTCTGGATTGGATACACTAAGAGAGACACGACATTACTTCTATGACAATTCCACTCCAAAGGTATCATATGGACTTAACCACAAGGAAACATCAGACACATCTAAATCAAAGGACATTCTACCAAAGAACTGGGCTGTACTCTCCATTTCTATAATGCACCATCAAAAAGAAAGACTGAAGAACTTTTCTAGATTAAAGAAGACCAAAAAGATATAAAAACCACAGATGATGTGTGGTTCTGGATTGGATACTGGACCAGAAAAAGGATGTTACTGGGGCAATTGATAAAGTTTGAGTATGGGCTGTAGAGCATGTAATAGTGTCTTACCAGTGCAAATTTCCTGATTTTGATCATCATGCTATTGTTAGGACTGAAAATATCCTTATTGTTAGGAAATACATGCAAGCATTTAGAGGTAAAAGAGTATGATGTCTTCAACTTAGTCTCAAATGGTTAAAAAAATGGTGAAGTGTGTGTGTGTGTGGTGTGGAGAGAGAGAACACAAAAAAATAAAGTAAATGGGGCAAAAATCTAAACAACTGGTTAATCTGTGCAAAGAGTATACAGGACTTCTTTATATTTTTCCTGCAAATCTTACATAAATTTAAAATGATAGCAGAGGAAGAAGTTAAAAAGTTAGTAAAAAGTGTACCAAAATCCAAATAGCTTTTAAAAGTTTGCTTTTAAATCATATAGGAAATCATATAATGTTTATTTGCTTATTTGCTTTAAATCATAGGAAATCATATAATGTTTATTTGCTTCACTGTCATAAAAAAGAGTCATTTAAAAAATAAAAGTATACACTGGAAATCCCACAGTGAGGCTCTGACAGTGCCGCCACCTATAGCTTGTTCTTCAGTGGTTAAATTGGTTTGTAGAACTGAGTCAAAAGAAAATGGAACACCCACACAAAGTTTGCAAACCCAACCAGGAGAAACAGTTAACAATGCCAGCACTCACCTCAACAGGCTTATGGACAATGGGTCCTCAGCCTAAATGAACTGAACATGTCAACTGTGAAGCTGAACGACTCAAGAAAGCAGGCCAAATAAAGGCCCAACTGCCCCATTCTTTTAGGAAGGTGCCAATGAAAGGTGCTGGGGAAGATCAGTCTTCTCAGAAGGACAGCAAGGACACAAATGCATAGGGCAAAGACACAGCAGCTTCTGCTAGAGAGTTGAACAGCTGAACTAGGTTACTCCCCATCTTGGAGTGTCCATATTAACAAGCTTTGCCCAGAAAAATAACTGAGTAGTTTTCATCCATGCTACAACCTCTAGGTAACACTAGCCATACAAACAGTGCAGCAGATCGTCCTTTGGGGAAACCAAATAGCTGAGCTGGACAATTAGAAGGTTCTGGTCAGGGTCAGTGCCAGAAACTGAAACATTACAGGAATGGAACAGGAAGTAGGGATAGTGAAACAGGTAATGGTCAGATTAACCAAGAAATAAAATCCTAATGTAGAGAAATGAAAATGGACGTTGGGCCGTAGTGTCCTATTACATGTTTAACAACTGACTTTGTGGGAGAAAAAACAACAGCCTTCGTGTGTAGTGTGTGCTGATTTCTGTGATGCAAATATTCCCATCACGGCTGAGTTCTAGGTACCAACATGGCGTCACTGAACAGGGAACAGGGAAGGGATGTGCACAATCAGCTCTCATGAGCTAACATGAACTAGCTCAGGTATACTGGTGGCGGTAACCTGAGCGCCAGTCCTATGTCTACCACCACCTAGCAATGTCACCCTAGTCACTTAACCCTCCTGGAGCTTCATTTCCTCACCTGCAAAAGGTCAACCTCACAAGATGATCGAGAGAATCAAATGAGAGTAATTTATCTCTATCTAAAATCTCTTTCAGCTCTGAACATCAGTGGTTCCATGATGGAACTGGCCACACTCATGGCCTTTTGCCTTTTTCCATCTCATATTGAATCTTATGAGCAGGGAGAAGACAAAAGAATTCTAGAGGAAGCTGCTCCAGAGTGTGGCTGTCGGAGCAGAAACCACGTTCATGTGGCCTCAGGGATGAGGTTCAAGGCTGTGACCACTCCCACTCCAGATTTTCTATACAGAAGAGATTCCTGGGTGGGAATCTGCTTGAAAAGTGGGGCTAATGAGTTTACAAACTTCCCTTATTTTAGCAGGATATTGATTTGGGATGACTTGGAGGTGTCAACTGTGCCCAGGCAGGGCCAACACGGTGTATATGTTCCCTCTCCTCAGCACTGATCCAGAGTCTGCCTGGGAATGAAGCATACAGAGGGAAACTTGGGTCTGTTCATATCTTGATGTCCAGCAAATCTAAAGGGAGTCACTCAGTGCTAATTTTCTTTAACTGCTGTCTTTGTCCCTTTTACCGACTGGTGCCTGGTGACATAAATTGCCCTCAATCTCCTCTTTTCTGTGCCTCTGAATTGGAGTGAAAAGCACTTAGCTCATCTTTTGAGACATCATTTGGGGACTCCATGAACTCAGAATGGGTATTTGGGACCTTTGTTACCTCTTCCTTTTGGGTAAGTGTAACTGGAAATAGGTAAATGTGAGGGTGGGCAGTCAGAGGAATAAATGAAACTGACTGGAACTTTGGGCCCTGCTGTGATTCCCAGAGCTTCGAGCTCAAGGACCAGAGGAAGGGAAATTTTGGCCTTGACGCATTGCTAAAGTAGCTGGCTGAGCAGACCCTCACCCAGCCACTCAAAGAAGTTGGAGTGCAAAGAGGTTTAGTAAGGTATAAGAGACATAATACCTTGTGCTTCCGGAGGCTGCCAGGACTGGTGGGCGTGGAGATGGGTGACTGTTTAGACTTGGGGGTAGAGAGCTGGCTGCTGGAGGTCCCGTTTGCTAGCCCGAGGCAAGAGAAAAGGAAGGGATAAGAATCAACAGCATACAAAGGAACCAGTTTTCCTTCCCCTCCAAAGACACTAAGAACATTCAGGCAAGGTACACAGACAACCAAGTGATTTGATGAGCTGAACAAAGGTGAGAAGAAACACATTCCTCAGAAAGGCCAGAACTACAATCCTCAGTTAATTAGATCCTGCAGCAGTGCAGGGCTGTAATCCTCCCACCTCTCCCCTGAGTGCTTCCAATTACAGGGCTCTGGTACTTTTCAAATCTTTCTCATATATTCATTCCCAAATTTGACCCTAACACCATCTCCAAGAGGTAGTCTGGGAACACATGATTTTGTTTCAATGTTACAAGGCAGAAAAAAAGTGAGGCAAAAGAGGTTCTGTGCCTTACCTTAAAGGGGAAGGGACAATGGGTGACTGAGACCAGGGATACATCCCCTCTGGTAGCAGCTGATGTGGCAGGTACAAGACAGCCCCATGGTCAGTCTCTCCCCACTCTCTCTTTCCCTGCTCACCTCCCCCCACCTCCCCCACCCACCGGGCCCCACTCTCTCTTCCCTGCCTCATCCTGGCTGAAAAGAACAGAAGGAAAGGAAAAAGAAAGGGAACTACTCAGGAAGAAGAATAGAAAAGAAATTGTGTGAGACTCTAAAGGCCTGTAGACCAAGATGGGCAGAGGAGGGAATAAAAAACGAGGGAGAGAAAGAGATCAGGAGTGGAGAAGGGAGATGAGGAAGAGGGGGATAAGAGGTTAGGAGAAGAAAAGAATGAGGAAGTTTGAAACCAGGAGAAAGGCACAGAGACTGAGGAAGGCAGACAGCCATGGCCAGAGTCAGGGTGCACCCCCATTTCTCTCTAGGCCAACAAAAGGCTGGAAGAGAGATGGTTAAGTATGTAACATTTTGATATTCCATTGTGTTTGCAAGTTGTTTTTATATTCCCTTTGCTAATGAGCTTTTTCAAGATCTAATCATGTGAAAAAAAAAATGCAGGGCATGGAAATGAAACAATTAAACAGCTTTTGAATGGATTCGTGTTTAGACACCTCATGTTATTTTTTTTTAATCTAAAGACCAACATTGTTAATCAGAGATATTCTGAAACAATCTTTAAAAATAAAGGGATTTTTAAAAAATATCCCAAAGCATGTGGGGGCAGAGGGAGAGGAGGAGAGAAACAAGAAGGAAGGGCAGAAAGAGAGAGATAGAATAGAAAATTCTGAAAGTTAAGCAGGAGGATGGCCTGAGAATGTCACTTAAACTATTGTATCGTGAATATTTCCTGAGGATATATAGTTCCTCTCCTCCACATAGGATAATGTTTTCCTTAGGTTCCGGAACCTGTGTATCAACTGTAGAGATGGAAGACACACAGTGGGGAGTTTGCTAAGTCTATCCAAGTGCAAGTAAGCTAAAAACTGGGCACATAGGTATCCACTGTCTGGCTTGAACTGTGTATTAGTGAATGCCTCTCTCACCCACTTACGGAGAGGTCTTTCTCCCTCTCAGGCCTTCCTGAAAGTCATTCATTCATTTAGCCAGTGGTTACAGGGTGCTTTCTCTAAACCAGGCCAAGTATTAGACATTGGGGTTTCAGAGATGAGTAACTCACTTCCTGTAGTGACCCAAGCAAGAATATGGTGGGCTAAGTACTACAGCAGACCCACGCAGGGGGATTATTAGACCCCAGGGAAGAGGCTTTGAAATCAGGGGACTGGGAGGCACACAGGAAGAGGTAATGCCTGAAAAAAAAAACAAAAACCTTGAAAGATGACTCTGGAATAATGGGAGAAAAATCTGTGGAGACAGAAAGTAGATTAATGGATGCCAGGGGCCAGCCAGGGTTGAAGTGGGTAGTTGGGGAGAAATTAAAAGTGTCTGCTACTAAGTACAGAGTTTATTTTAGAGGGATAAAGGTGTTTTGGCAATTGTGGTGACCACTGCACAACTCTATGGCTAAACTAAAATCCATTGAACTGTACATTCTAAAGGAGTCAATTCTCATGTGAATTGTATCTCAATAAAGCCATTATGAAAAGATGAATTGGAACTCCTTAGGCAAAGGGCAGAAAGGGTATTCTATTTTTTTTTTCCAGAAAGGGTATTCTAGCCTTTAAGATTGTACCAGTAGGGGAAAGGACATGCGAGTGTAAAAGAATACTGTACATTTATAGAGTACAAATAGCTTAAAATAGCTCAAAAACAAGGTGCCAATAGTGAGTTCCAGGACATGAGATGGGAGATGACTTGGGCTGTGGGGCCCTTTTGTGGGGCCTTCTGTTTGAGTTTCACTTGTGAAAGAAATCTGAGAGTGCTACTCCCAATTTTGCATTTTAAAACTACTACTCCGGTTACTGTGATAAAGTTGGGGTCGAGTGGGATGGGCTCAGGTAAGGGTAGAAACAAAGAGACTGGTTAGAAGACAATGCACTAGTCCAGGGGCCCCTGAGTGGCTCAGTCAGTTAAGCGTCTTCCTCTTGATTTTGGCATTGGGCTCCACACTGGGCGTGGAGCGTACTTGGGATTCTCTCTCTCCCTCTGCCCCTCCCCCACTCTCTTTAAATTCTTATTTAAAATAATTTTTTTTAAAGAAGACATTGAATGAGTCCAGGTGAGAGGGGATGATGACTTAAAGCAATGGAGAGAGAGAGAAGGGACAAGGCAGAAGATAGAGATCTAGAGGAGAAATAAGCTTAGAGTGTTATGTGCATGCACTGATAAGCCATGCCAAGAAGAAGGTGATCTGTGCCAACCATCATGGAGATATTGGGTGCTAGGCTTGGCCAGGGCACTAGGCTTTCTGGTGAATGAAGGAAGCGCTGTGGAAAAGGCAAGAGTGTGTGGAGCTACAGTGGGGTACAGTAGTCCATTACAGGAAAAATAAGGAGTTGCGGGGCCACCTACAGTGCCTGAAGGCCTCCCTAGCAGGACCTGACCTGTAGTATACAAGATAAAGAACAATCTTGGAGATCGGTCTGAGCTGACATAATGCAAGTCTTCCCAAAGAGCCCTGACCTCAACCATGGTCTCACAGATGTGGGCATCCCCAGGTAAGTTCTGGCATTTGGTTCCGTGGGATCGACGTATCCTTTGGCAACAACGGATTGTAGGTCCCCAGCATTTGTCAGCCATGCTACACAGTGGTGGTGGCCATACTCTCCATGTAAAAATGATCTTTTTCACCTACACTCTTATCTAACTGAGGGTGAGCCCACTGGTCTTGCCAAAATGGAGAAAATTGTGAACCACAAGCATGTCTGTAAGGGAATTTCCACCCACTTGTTGGCCATAGACCTGCACAGACAGGTTCTTGTGCAACTTCCAGTACTTTTCTCAATATTTTTGGAAACTCTCTCCCTCAAACACTTTAGAGGTAATACATAAATCCATATGTTATCAATACCTCTCTGTCTAGTCTCTGTGTATGTGTCTATGTTGATTCTCTGCCACTCCCCGACTAATTAATCTTAAACTACCTATAATAAAAGTCTTTATTTTGTCATCCACATTCACCAAGCATTTTGAAAATCAGTTTCTTAATACCTTAACTGCCACTCACTTCAGTGTTGGAAAATGCAAACACTTGCCCAGACTTCTTTCACCCCACCAGACGTCCTGATAGACTAAAACCCAAAGATGGACATGAAGACATGAGAGAATGTAGACAGACACACACAAGCAGATGTAAGTCTTCACAAGCTGAAAGAGTCCCTATGTTTACAGACTAGATTAAAAATACATTCACACGTGGGAAAAAATACCTGGGAGAGTGCTATTTGATATGGACTCTAAAGCCAATTCATATAAATGTCAAGTAAGAGAAGGAGCAGGAAAAAAGTGCAAATAGGGTCTGAAAAACTGTGCACAGTCTGACACTGGCCAATCCACATGGACGGCCATGACAGTTCATTGAGACAGTGGCCAGAAATAACACCACTCCTTGACATCTGTTATTGTCCTTCATTCTTCTTTACTAAATACCCTCAGCTCTTGTCTCTGAGCTTCTGATTCTCAGCTGCAATTTGGGGATGCACCCAAGGAGACTTTGCCCCCTTTGACTTATCTTTCTCCTTTCCCTGCTCAGAACTACTGTCTTCTCTCACTGTGGTCACTTTTATTTCCTTTTTTTTTCTCATTGTATAGGGCAGTTTTTTCTATATATAACAAGGTACATCGAGGACTTCTCAGTCTCCTAGGCCATATTATGAATCTTATCAATAAAACACAAGATAATATTTAGCACTTATACAGTGTCTGATAGGCCAGCACTCACTGTGCATGCACACACCCACCCCCCCCAAAAATACAGTCTCTTTTAGTTGTATTTTCATTTCCAATGAGGAAAGAGAGGCTTGTTCTAGTTGGAGATAGTAAAGTCAAGATTTGAACACACATCTCTCTGATTCCAAATCCTACGTGTGTTTCGGTTTGGTTTTGGTTTTTGCTCCACCACTCTTGCTTTTATAAATGAATTGATTCTGGGACTCCTTCCTATGTCCTATGACAACTTTCTGAGGGAGGAAAGAAGGGGGCAGAAAAGTTGTGGTAGAGAAAAAAGAGAGGAATAGGACAAGGTAGAAATAGACACCAGAGCTTACATACATCTACCATATTTTATTCTACTTACCTAGTTTAGATCAGAAAGGAGGACATTAGGAGAAGGAAGGGAAAAATGAAGGGGGGTGGGGAATCAAAGGGGGAGACAGACCATGAGAGACTATAGACTCTGGGAATCAAACTGAGGGTTTTAGAGGAGGGGGGGTGGGGGGATGGGTGAGCCCGGTGATGGGTATTAAGGAGGGCACATATTGCATGGATCACTGGGTGTTATATGCAAACAATGAATTATGGAACACTACATCAAAATTCAATGGCGTACTGTATGGTAACCGACATAACATAATAATAATTTAAAAAAAAGATTAGGAAGTATTTAGCAAGAAATTTCTTTTATTTGCCAAAAGGACTGGGTATGATAGACAATGTCATG